ATGCAACGCTAGATAGAAATAATATAATAGGCATTTTCCAAATAACTCTTAACAGATTCTTGTATAGGTATACACGTATGCACATACACACATACATATATATGTATTCATTTACAGCTGCGCATTTAATGCACGTTTGCCAGAATTCTACTTGCTCTCTTGCACATAAAACTTCAAACACCAAGCGATTGCAAGTGCCCCAAATGAAGTTGCTATGGAGTTGAGTTGGAGTGTTGAAGTTTTTGCCTACCTCTACTGGTTATATTGCTTTGGTTTTCTGGCTGACTAACTGACATTTAGACTGGTTGACTGGGCTCTTGACTGGTTGTGGTTGCAAATACAATGAATACCGACTGTGAACGTACATATGTATCTTTAAGCATCTGTGAACCGGTTGTACCAGTCGGCTCAACGTTGTTCACAATACATACAATATATTTTATTGTTGTTGGTGGCTTATGAGTTGGGGTGTTTGGGGTTACCCCCTCTTATTGCATGCTGTGCTGCGGAGGTTTAGTCACAGTTGTGAGTAAGTACATATGTATGTACATTGCAAAGACAGTGTAATGCTCATAAAAGGCAATCTCTTTTGAATGTTCCAAGACAATTCTATTTTTAATTATTACCATAAATGTAAACGTTTACTTCACTCATTAAAATATTCACTTATTTTAATAGTTGCATGTTAAGGCAATTAATTGCTTTTGTTTTCTGTTTATTTTTCATGTGAAGTGGAATTGCTGCTGTAGAAGCTTGAAACGATTTGAGGTTGTTTCACTCAAATTGGTCGAGTTGTTTCCTATTGAAATCTTCTTCGAACTTTTTTCTCATTTTTAGTTTAGTCCCAAATGTTTCAGGACAGAAAAAAGTTACTAGAAAATAAATCAATTAAAGAAGTCAAATATAAAATATTTTCAAGTGTATTAAAAGCAATCTTGTGAGAGATCTTTCCGATATCCAAAGAACGCAAAACTGTTTTTTCTTATGAAATCAAGAAACTTTAGTTATATAATTTTGCTTAATTAAAATCGAATAATAGGTTTGTGAAATCTTTATAACTACTGAACGTCAGCTGTACACACATAAAATTTTTTCCGTTTCGAGGCATATTTTCAGTTTAAGTTTGCTCTAACTTTCAGGATTTATGAATGCTCCAGGTCAATGGCCTCTCTAGGCTACGCCAACATATTTAACGGCACTTGATTGAGAGTACGTTGCGCTGGTTAGTTTAGCGTTGCGCATGCTTTTGTCTATAGACACCGGCATCGGCTCCTGAATTTCGGGGTTAGTTGGAATATCTGAAGCCGGCCGCTATCCGCTCTGGCTATAATTGGAAACTCGCATAAATGAATTCCCGTGCTTTAACTGTAAGCCGATTCATCAGTATGAAAATCTGTGTTGCTTAAGTCATTTTAAATTACACAAATGGATGAGCCACATCAATAAAAAAACATTGTTATTTCTACCCCGAAACAATGATTTCGTATTTGTGGAAATAATTTTAACTGAGACATATTCTACGATCTCGGAAAACATTTAATTATAATATATAGAGGGTAGGGAAGCTTTTATGAGAAGAGAATTTGAATGCAATATTTGGCTGTTCTCTTGTGTTGTTATTTTATCGATTCTTTTTATATTTAATGGTTTTGTTATGTCCTTTATCTCAGTCTAGAACTCGCATGCAATTTCGCCTGCAATGAATTTTAAGTTGGGCCTCATAAGATTTTCATTGGATTTTTCCTTTATTTATTTTAATATTATAATATAAAAATATTATTCTAAAATGTTTGAATACTTGTAAAAAAATTATAAAAAAAAATTTTAAATCCCAACATTAAGCACAACGATCTTTTTTGAATACATTGGCCTCAGCTATCTATACATGTTCCAAAAATCAAAAAATCGAAAATATCATGTAAATTAAACAATTTAAAAATTATATTTGATTTTTTCGAATAGATCGATCTTAGGTCAACTTGCCGGAAGATCATTTCTTGTTGGATGCCTACGTCATAAGCAAAACACACCCTACAGATTTTCATCTCTCAATGATTAGCAATTTAAGACGTTGACTCGTTAGTCATTCAGGACAAAGCTTACATATAGATCGAGTTTCTACATATCTCGGGCAAAATTTTCAAGACCTGGTGAGACGAAGAGGAAGTCATTTATTGCTACATTAACTTGGTGTACTTTGCTGAGGTGATTTTGCAAAGCATTTTGAGTGTTCTTATTTAGAACGGGCCGGAGAACGGTTCTCTATCTGAGGAGTCCACTGATTCTTTCAAGTTTTTTAGGCCTTCAGCAATGTAGCGGTACATTAAAAATAAGTAAAAAGTTAACGTTCATTTATTTAGTATAACTTAGTACAGATTGAAAAATTAATAGAGTACCACATGCATCGAAAATAACTGAAAATTGTACTGGGGCATTTTTAATGAAAAAAAAAACATATTTAGCCTTCTAGTTTTAGTTCCTCTACTCTTTACTCTAACGATTTCTGCCGCGGCTATTGAGACGAAGAAGAGGAGGAGACCATTGTGCACTACCTTTGTCACTGTCCAGCCTTGACATCCGCGTGACACAGGTTTTTTTTTGGAAAATACTTCTTCCATTGTCTCGCTGAGTTGGCCTCGCTGAACATTGGCAATCAATCTCGTTGCCTCTATAAGGCACACGAAATGGTTCGATCATTTGAGAAGGTGAAGGCAGGAGCCTCACCGCTGTCTCAATGGACCTTTTGGCCTAAGTGTGCTGGGGTTGACCAGCAGCCGCATTAACTCAACTCAACTCAAAAATTTCTTCTTTCATAACAATTGGTTATTTAAATTTTATTTCAAATAGAAATTCGGTTCCCATTTGTTTTTATTTAAGACAGTTATATTACATTTACTGTTCAAGACCCTACGGGTCTGTTCTTATATTATGAACTTATAAGATCTGCATGATTCTTTAAATGTTTTATAAACCGTGAAAATCAGGGGAAATTGAGGCAAGAAGAATGAGTAGACATCAAGCTTGCTGTGTTAACAGTCTCGTCTGCTCTTAGGAGAAATGTAAAAATCTGGTTAAGGTTATTGGCCTAACTATATTTAGCTAAGCTTTATCGTTTAATATCTTACGAAAAAAGGGTATACTTCTAAAAAACAAGGACTCTAACCAAATTATGTAAGCAAAATAAAAATTTTAACTAAATTTTTTATTCCAATCGAAAGCAATGAATACCAGTTGGGCTTATGAAACAGTAGATAACTATGAGATATAGAGTAGGGCTGCTTTCAAGAAGAAATTTGTCAAATCTTAGATTTTAGAGAATAGTATTTAAAGCATACACTGTAGGCCTACACCGATATCATCATCAAAATGGTGAGTTTATTATGTATCTCAAGCATTAGAGATGTCTTATCTGAATTCAATTATATATTCCATAAGTAAAGTAAAGTGTAAAGTAATTCAAAAGGGCTGAGTCTTTATGGCCATCATTTACATATTTTTTCAACAGACCTGTAGGATCTACTCTAAGGTCAATATCCTTTTAGGAACTCAGTTTGGTTTGCCGTTTCATAATGAGCAGACTTGCTACGAAATAAGCGGTCGGTCGTGTCACCCTTCAAACTGTTTAGTGTGCCCTATAGGCAGATGGAATCAATGGTCCATATTTTTTGAAAAATGAAGCCGACAAAAATATTACAGTCAATGGCCATAGGGGCATGATTAAAAGCTTTAGCGTGCCTGAATTCGAGGATGTTGATGTGGACGACCATTGACATAAAACCAGCGCAAAAGTCAATTTATAGAAGGAAACTTTTGGTGAGGACATCCTTGTTGACTTGAGGCGTGGCTTCCAAGATAATGCGATTTAACACCGCTATACAATTTTTGGTATGATTATGAAAGGCGGATAAGCCTAAAACGATTGCCGCCTTGAAAGAGAATATTCGGCGCGTTACGACTGACATATATACACAATTGCTGCAAAAAGTGGTCGAAAATTGGATCTCTCGACTGCAATTTATACGAGCCAGCCGCGACGGTTCAGAGTCATTTTAAAAACGATATCTTCATAATAGAACTGAATTGTTTATTACACCATTAAATTAAATACGTTTTATGCCTTTTATAAAAGTACATGTCATAAAAAAGCACCCTCTATGAAGGAAAAGTATGTCGAATCTGACTGAATGCTGTCTTTAAAAGTTTAATTCAATTATTTTCAAAGAACATAATGCACTAAGACTATTCATTATTACTTTACATATTGTTAAGAACCATAAGAAACTTTAACAGAAAATTTACTTTAAATTTAATTGTTATGAACACATTCTTTCTCTGAAAAAACAATCACAGAATGTTTTGGTATAAAGGCAAAAAAAAAATAAAAATTTCTGGAATATTATTTATTAAAATATCAACTTATTAAAGCATTCATGACATCAGCTCACATCACATATCGCCCCTGTGGCTTAGGGGTTCAAGAATTTATCTGCGACAAGGCATGCCTGTCGTAAGAGGCGATTAAAATCCAATAGTTCCCGAGACAGTCGGGTCTTTAGAACGGACCGACCCGGATTTTTATCCGTCCAAGGACTGTCACACCCGCAACATTCCACGAAAAGTACATTGGAGAATATTTTTGAGGTCACAACAACAACATGTCTCTGGAAAATTCCTATTTATCACCCCTTTCGGGCGGTACTTAAAATTACACCACGACACGACAGTTCGTTCACACCGTCACCAAAAGTTTTTTTTTTATTTTTATTTATTTTTTATATATGTATGTTTAACATACTAAATTATTTTTCTCAGATCAATATTTTTATTCAACTGATTTTAAGTAACTTACTGATATAGTTATTCATATATAGTTATTCAGAGATTATTTATTTTAAATTTTTTTATTTTATTTAACTTTCATGTTTATTTTAAATTTACATACTAGAAATGTTAAACACTACATATACATGGATTCAAAGCCAAACAGTTTTGTTATTTACCTTTTTAATTTCCATGAATATTAATTAACTTGTATAGCACACAATAGCACAGGATGATAATTGGCATAGTACTGCATTTAATTCAGTTGATATAACTTTTTTTTTTAATTTTTCACTTTACATTAATTGCCTCTTCCGCAAACGCTAATTTCACTTATTTAATTTATTTATTTTGCTACTTTATTTTTAAAATAAGTAGTTTTTGCACACACACACTGAGAATAATTTTGAACTCGTTTTGTGCTTACTGAAATAGTTTTTTTTTTCTTGTTTTCTCTTTTGTTTCTTACATTTATTTATTTCACTTCATTTGTTGCCTACTCCAATTAAATAAATTTATAGCAATTGCAAAGTACATCACTGTACACATTTATTTAAATACATTTGCTTGTATGTATGTATGTATGTATGTATGTATATGCGTACATATTTAGTTGAACTGCATTTGCACTTCCACATCTACTCCACGTTACATTTTCTTACTTTGCTTTGCTTGCGTTTCCACTGCTTTTCGCTACCCAAGCACACACTAGTGTTGTGTTACTTTCTTTCTTCACTCACTTCACTTCACTTCATTTCACTGTAATTACTGCTTGTTTCTTTCTCTCCGTTTGCTTAGTTACCTTTATTTCGGCAAATGCTTATTTACTTTTAAATTTCGTATTCGTGTTTGATATTAAACGCTTCCTCTTATGGTTAAATATAATTACATAGAAGAAATATATGTAATATAATGGGAGCAGCGCGAAAATGTAAACAAAATAATTTATTTTTATTTTTATTTTTTCTATTTCATATTTTGCTTTCTTTTTTGTTTAGCGCCAATTTTATTTCTTTACTTTTTCAATCCCATGTATCGCGCTCTTTGTGAACGTACATATATACATACATATGTACTTTATTAATTCGTTTCAATCGAATTTTTTTCGTATGCACTTCACTTTTTTCTCACATCAACTGCATGTATTTACATGAGTGTGTGTGTGTGTGTGTGTTGTTATTCTTGTTTTTGGTAGCGAGCACCAATAAATAAAAATTCCAACATCGAACGCACACTACCGAACCTAAACAACAGCTTCGACCGGCTTTTAAGAAACAACTGAAGTGTCAGGCAGCTGGCAAAGTAGCAGCAGCAACAACAGCACCACTACACAGCGACAGAACAGAAACCGTGCGAATGACAGCCGACGTTATGTAGATAGCAGATAGCAGATAGCAGATAGCAGTGGGCAGAACGAGTGACGTCGCATACAGTGACGGCAGCAGTGGCAGCGGCCATGGTAAATGTTCAGGCAGCTGCTTTAGCACATGGCTTGCATGTTGGTGTTTTTGTTTTTGGTTTTTGGTTGTTGGTTTTTGGTTTTCGCTTTGACGCTAGTAAGCGGCAGTGAAGTTATTCACAGCTGGCAATGCTAGTATATTGCATTTAGCAGAGAGTATCTTAGCCAAACGCTCTTATGTAATTCAGCTATTAGAAATCCATTTTAGAGGCTCTCTTCTGGTTTTTAACAGCCATGAAGTTACTGTTTTGATGGCGTAGAGGAACTGTTAAGTTGGTTCTGAACAGCTGTGTGGCTTAAAATTAGTGTGGTGAGTGCAGGAGTTTGCCTAAAAGTATGCCACGCTTATACGGCGAATTTGATGTAAACGTAGTTGTGCGCTGTTAGAAAAGTGTTGCCTACTCAATGACGGGGGAAACTGTGCAAGCCAAATTTTAATATTGTTTTGTTTTTTTTTTTAATTAAAATAAAAATTTATAAAAAAAAAATAAGCCGATAAATAAAAATAAAGTTGATATATATAAAAAATTAAACTATATTTTTTTTATTGCATTGGTAAGTTACTTTAAGATAATATCTTCCCGGCTCGATTCAAAGTAACTGATTGCTTCATTTTCGCTTTAAACATTGAAAGCGATTTTTGTACAAAGTCTTTCTCAAGCTTACATATATGTATGTGTGTATATGTACATATATATATTTGGAGTTTTTTATTTATATATGGAAACTAAAACTCAGAAGAAATGCTATCGTTTCTTTAAATATAGGACCATAATATTAGTTATTTCCAACTGCTCGGTAACATTTGGTTTCTTTCCGTTTTCTAATTGCGTGTGTCAAAATATTTCTTCTATTAACTCTACCAAAAATTTTGAGTTAAAAAATTAGAGCAGGTTTATCTCTAATTTTACTTAGAATAAAAAAAAATATAATGAAAGAAGATCAAAAAAGTTTGATGTTATTAAATTTGGTTGAAAAAAGTAACCTGAAGAAACCTAAATCAGCTCAATGAGCGTACCTTTTAAGTAGTTTTATGCGCCTAAAAGTATGCAACAAAATCAATATAGTTTAGTTTTCTTATTGCAAAAGTTATTTTTAATTTCTTATATTTAATTAACTCGAGTTGTTTAAATTGGTGCCCACTAAAAAACGTAACTTTAGTTTGGAATGGATAATAAATATTTGGGAAGATCTTTAATATTTCGATTAAATTAAATTTAAAAAAAAATCTATTTTTTGGACTTTATTGAGTAGTTCTTTAGAAAAACTGACAAACCTTTAGTCTATAAAGTATTTCCTCCTTCAAGATCTGAAATCATCTGTCCGATTCATTCAATACCGAACGAGACATAAAAAAACCTGAGTCTGAGCCTTTGTCGAGTGACTTAGTTAGCTTAAATAAAAACAAGCTACAGAGCGAAATAGAGAAAGAACAAACTTCTAGAAGTATGTGCAATTCTTGGCGTATGACGAGGACAACACGAAATATCTCATTTCATCAAACAAACAGTCATCGCATTCGCGTTTGGGCTTCTACGTCACAATGTGGCAATCATAACTTTGAAGTGGTAAATAATTTCGTATATCTAGGGACCAGTATAAACACCAATAGTAATGTCACCCTTAAGATCCAGCGCAGAATCATTTCTATAAACAGGTTCTTGTTTGGACTAAGTACGCAACTGAAATGTAAAATACTCTCTCGGTGAACCACATCCAAACTCTACAAGTCACTCATCATACCCGTCCTATTATCTGGTGCGGAAGATGGACGATGTCAACATCCGTTGAGGCGACACTGGGAGTCTTTGAGCGACAAGTTTTGTTTACAATTTGTGCTTCTTTGCGCATTGGCAACGACGAAGACCGCAGACGATCCAGCGACGAACTGTACGAGTATGAATACAAATACAACAATACCATGCTGGAAATCCAAGAGATGCTACATTACACTCAGCAGAAAACAGAAATCTTTCGAAAAAAGTAGCCAACTAAGCCGCTCTTTACTCCTATTTATGGTGCAGAGGCGTTGACGATGACTACAACTGATGTATATGTACACCTTGGATGGCCACTGCAAATACCACAGCCGATGTATGAGGTATATGGCCATACGAACATAGTTCAGTGAGTGAGAAGACAGAGGCTACGAAAGTTCGTATGGAAAATACCACTTTAGGTTTAAAGATTTTCGAAGTTCCTGCCGGTGGAAGCAGGGAAAAGGATGACCCTGCCTTGGAAAAATTAAGTGCGGAAGAACCCGACATCCTTTGCTATCTCCAAATGGCACGGAACGGCGAGGAGAGAAGACGACTAGCGCGCTGTTGTCGACTTTAATAGCGAAAGCTGTGTCTGCGACAAAAAAGAGGAAACAAATTTTTAACTATACAAAAGTATGCAGTCCATTATTTCATGTTATTGGCGGTTCTTCCTATTAGACTTCAAATTACTCAGGTCGTAATATAGTTTGAAAAGTTTACCCTAGAAGCAGGCACATTAATTTCCGGACTTGTCTATTTACATAACAGGAAGTAACCCTAAATATACCAAAGAACTAACCCGGCAGGTTCAAGAATTTTCCCGCGGTAAGACATGTTGGTCGCAAGAGAGGACTCTAAAATATTGGCACGACGTGGATTTTTTCCGACCAAGGACTGTCACTTCTGCAATATTACCCAAAAAAAAACTTTAGGGAATAGTTTTGAGGCTACAACAACAAAAACACTAATATGTAAGTAGCGTTTCTAGCGGCCTGGTCGCTAATTCTGTCTATCGCTTAAGGCTAGAAAACGATTGTGTATTATCTAAACATAGTTTTAGGCGCAAAAATTCAAAGACTGGTTAGAATTTACAATTTTGTGAATTAACTAGCATAAGTCCTGAACTCATCTCGTTTCAATGTCTCAATTACTTTATTACCAAAAGATATAATATTTTTCATTCTCAAGAATCAGTCAGTCATTTTGTGTTTTCCTGAGATTGGATTTGTGTTGCATTATATTTGAGCAGCATCTCTGTGAACTGTTGTGCTGCAAACTAAAGTCACGCTTAAGAGCTCTCAACGCGATACTGGAAACTATAAATGCTATCAATAAATTCCACAAATTCCTAAATTTCATTAAAAAGACTTTATCACAACAGCGCGAGTTCGACTCTCTAACCAATTACTCGCACACACATTCACACCAACGTTAAATAACCAAATTAAATGAAATTTCTATCTTAGCAATTGCCAAAGCAATAAAATATTAACTGAGCATGAATGGTGTCTTCATCGCTTCACACAGCGTCAATTAGATGCCAATAAGATTTGAAAAATGTGCAATGCGTCACTAATTAGTTTTCGAACAATAAAAGGCGTACACACCACTAAATATACGAATACGTTTGAAGGCCGCGAGAAGGGTGCTGTTTGCGTGAGAGACGGCGGTGCGCGACAAGCAATTAAAAGACAGAGCAGTGCCGGGCGGGGCGGTGTGTAGCGTGGGATCAATTACAATTTATTGTAGCGCATTGATAGCAAACGGCGAGCAGTGGGCTGTAAGATCCTAAGTGGGAATGTAAGGGATATACAGAAATACATATTTTTGTATATGTATATACTATAAATATATGTACATATGTAGTTATGTAAGCCTTCTAGTATGCAACTGGCGGGGTGACAAACACCGCTTATTGGTGCTGATCATTATCAAACCAATATATTGTCAGCACCTACGGCGCGCACGCGACCTCATAGTAAATAAATATAAATTTATGTATACATATATGTTGTAGCACATATTTGTATGTACATATGTACTTTTGTAAATATAATTGCATGCTTGTATGCATAACTGCTCATGTATTTTGTAATATTGGAAACCCCATATATTTATATACATATATACTACACAAACAAATTGTATTTATACCTTTCATGAACACTCAAGTTATTAAGTGATCTGAACGAAATTTCGCATAAAAGCATATTTGTTTATTATAAAAAATATTTGCAAGAATCAACGAAATCTGCTGATTACCACATAAAGCTAGCAAGGAGCAAGTAGTTCAAAAATTAGCTTTTGCTTGATAATCTCTCTATTTTTGAAATTAGGAACATGAAATTTGGCACACGATTCAGCTATTATATGTAGAGGATTTATAGTGAAAATTGTCAAAATCAATTAACTTTAACACTTAGCTGTTATCCAACTGATTGTTCGAAAACGACTTTTCAACTGATAACACTGCAAATACAGCAGCTTGGATAATGAAACTCAGCATACTTTTCTCTCACTGTTTAAGATATGCTTTAAGTGTAAATCTTCAAAATTGGTCCATAATAAAGCTTAGCTGCCATAGGAATGAGAGTTCAAAATTCAGCTTTTGCTTGATTATCTTTCCATTTTTGAAATTAGGAACATGAAATTTGGCACACGATTCAGCTATTATATGTAGAGGATTTATAGTGAAAATTATCGAAATCAGTTAACTATAACACTTAGCTGTCATACAACCGATTGTTCGAAAACGGCTTTTCTACTAATAACTCTGCAAATACAACAGCTTGGATAATGAAATTCAGCATACTTTTCTCTCACTGTTTAAGATGTGCAATAAGTGTAAATCTTAAAAATTGGTCCATAATAAAGCATAGCTGCCATAGGAATGAGAGTTCAAAAATCAGCTTTTGCTTGATTATCTCTCTATTTTTGAAATTAGGAACATGAAATTTGGCACACGATTCAGCTATTATAGGTAGATAAGTGAAAATGATCGAAATCACTTAACTTTAACACTTAGCTGTCATGCAACCGACTGTTCGAAAACGGCTTTTCTATTCATAACTCTGCAAATACAGCAACTTGGATAATGAAATTCAGCATA